CATTATTAGTGATAAAGCTGTAAAGTTTCAAGAATAATGCTCTTAAATTGACGAAGATATGAATCAGATTCACATTTTCTTCGTGTTTGTCATGAGAAAACTTAAGGCTAACGTGGATTCTTCGAAACCTGGCATATTAATCATCATTGATGTGACAAACTCGATGCTGCATTTCGTTTTCATTAAATCGAGTTTTATAAATCTTCATGCTAGCGTGATATTCGTCTATTGAGTACAAAAGAAATTCTGTTATTATAATTGTACGTGTACAGTATCGAAATAGTAAAGGATATTTGACAAAGCTTAATTTGTAGAACTGTTTAGTTATGCCTGGATCAAATATTGAACTGTCGACTTTAGATAGACCAGAATGATTTCAAGTGGACTGTTTAAATGACTTTCAAATGAACTAAATTGAATTTGCTCGAGTAAAGTATGACGTTTAATCGTGGCGATCGTAATTCCCCACAAATCAAACCACCACAGTAGATTGGGGCCTTTGATGGGCAAACAACCAACCATGGTAACAAAAGGTCTGATGCATTCGCTCAGAACTAGCCTGCTGCYGTAGGCTTTATAGAGAGAATGAACTCCACCGTCGCCTGGAAGACTTTRATCTTTCTGAGTTTTTTATAATTCCCTAAACAGGCGTGGGCGTCACATGAGTTCAGAATCGCCCCAAAAGTATCATACGTTGAAAAGYACTGTTTCAGTGTCATTCTGTCTTTATGCTTTGTAAAGAGTGTCACAGGTTGAAAGGGACATTTATATATTTTTGCTAGAGCTATCATTTATTTAAGTAAGTTCCCAAGGGAAAACAAAAGCAGTTAATTAATCTTGCATGCATGGTATTTAAGTATTGCGAAGTGAGTACGGTATAGCAACGTGTATAAAGCCGATCAGGTCTCTTCTGCACAAGGTCAACAGACTTTGTACTCCAGGGGTACTATTTGTGGAAACGTGGAACAAGCGACTTCCGAGGACGCCGAAGTATCTTAGGAATTAAAAAATTGACTAACAAAAAGCAAGAAAATGATCTTTTTCTACAGACGACAGAAAAGCATTTTCTCTTGAATTCAGCAATTTCAGGTAAATGATGAAAACTATTTTGAGATGTGTTGATGACCTTGTTTCGGAAATATGGGTTTGGCAAACTGCAAACGTTTAGCATACTAACTGACGGTAAGAAGCATCTTTTAAGATCATAGAAAAGTGAAAAAATAGATAAGAAAATGAAAATACTACTTTACATTCAGTCATTCACAATGCCCAATCAAATTTTAACATAGACGTAAACAAAATTAAAATTTCAAACATCATGCCATGGCCATTCAGGTTTATACGATTCGCACTTCTATACCGGTACATTCTCTGTTCTCAGAGGGAAATTTCATGTTGAAACTCGCCGCGATGTTGTGAAATTTCTCTTAAACCTCCTTGTAGTATAATTCAGTTTTTTTGTCTCTGTYGTACTTCAGTTTCCATGTCAGTTTTGTGAATCATTACATGTGCAAGTGCCACCTTCATTTTCTAAACTATTCTTTTAATTTTTTCAGTTTTCTTTGACCTACTACCGCACCCAACTATTATGAAAGCGKATGGTCTGAATTATGTATTGAAAAAAAAAAAATTGTTATAGAGTTACGTCTTTTCAAAACTTACTTTGTTTATCGTTGCGAATCCGTTTTGAATATAATAAACTAGATTTATATCATTCTCTTTTGATCAATTGTGCTATTTCATTGAGACGTCACATCCAAACATTCTTTTGTTTCAACGCTACGGATCATGGTCAGAGAGATGATCAGAGTGACTGTATTTATCAAATGTAAAATGTACATGAGCATGATACAT